TAATAATAATAATAATATATCTGTATTAGAAAATTAGAAATTGACAAAACTATTGAATTTTACATATTTTGAAAATTCATTTTTTCATTTTTTTTATTTTTATATATTTTTTCGCCGGTCCGATTTGGTTTTAAACCGCAATTAAATTTCTCAAACCTAAACCAAACCATTTTGACCGGTTTGGTTTGGGTCAAAACCATTTCGTTGACGGGGTTCACGTGGCACCAAAACGACGGTTTCTAAAATGCGGTTTCGGTTCGATTTTTCGATTTTGCGATTTTTACTTACAGCCCTACTTCAAATGAATATTTGTACACAAAATTTTGAAAAGTAGCATCATCTACGCTCCCTATCAACTCCTCCAACATGCAAGGTGAAACCTCAAGTTATAGAGAGGAAATTGATGTCTCCACAGCATAGAATAGCATTCAAGACCCAGAAATAGAGCGTGAAATGCCAATTTAGAAAAACTCTTTCCAAAAATAATTATAACTCAACTAAGCATACTGCATGTGGTACTTTTTCATTGTTAGTCGAGGAACAAGTCATTATGGAAAACATGAATATGACATGCCTCCAACACATACTTACACTTTTTATTTTTAAGATAAACCTTAGCATATTTCCTCTCAAATATAGAAATCGGTAATGGGTAAATAAATTTTGTTGAAAGCACGGTTGTAAAAGGAAAAGAAAGAGAACTTAAAGGGATATAGATGGCAATTATCACGGGAGAGAGACTTGGTACTAGTCAAATGTAATAGCCGTCCCAAGGCAAAAGAAGAGGACAAAATTGAAGAACACCATCTTCACAAGAGAATCCATGCTACAAAAATTTCTCGTTTACTTGTATTATTTCTAACTTTTGTATCGACACAAGATGGAATGAAGGGACAATGAAAAGGTAGCTACCACACCTTTGGGATTTATACTAGTACCTCCATGGTTCATATGACCTTCTAATAAGTTGAAATGACTATTTTAACCTTGACGATATAATTATTATTTGACTTTTGCCTTGAACTTGAATTTAATGTCGCCTTCTTCATCATGAGAGAAGAAATTCAGGAGATGGGAAATGGAGGGTAAAGGCTTAGGTTGGTAGCTCTTAATATTATTCCTTACCACTTGTTTTAATGAGAAATTATTATTTGACTTTTGCCTTGAACTTAAATTTAATGTCGCCTTCTTCATCATGTAGAGAAGAAATTCAGGAGAATGGAAATGGAGGGTAAAAGCTTAGGTTGGTAGCTCTAATATTATTCCTTACCACTTGCTTTAATGAGAAAATATTTATGAATGAGGCTTTGGTAAACAAGCATACAAGTTTTAAGTCAATTTCTCAAGCCAACGACACAACTGTACTGGCAATAAATATCTTTTCTTTTCAGTACTAACAACCTATTTAGCATCCGATTGGCCCCCATTGATATTCATTTCATTACATTTTATTTTTCTCTCTCCTATTTTCAACCACACAATTTTTCATAAAATGATATTACATGTAAATTGAAAACTTTTCTTTCTTTTTCAACCACTCATTTTTCAAAAATACTATTCCACCCATATTCATTTATACAAAATGAGGGCCAAACGAGGGTTAGTGTAGATTTTTTTGAATAATGTTATTCATAGACGCTCATTGCATTAGTTGCCTTAAGTAGCATCCTACATGATGGTTTGTAATTTGATGCATTAATGTGTTAATTTTTTCCTATTTTTTCCTCGTGCATCCAATTACTAACCACCGTATGTATGTTACGTATGACAACTACAGTAATGAACGACTGCAAATAGCATTATTCGATTTTTTTGGATTAGATTTTGTGATAATGGATATTTTTGGAGAACATATGATTTAATTAGCAAAAAAAAAAAAAAAAGTTAAAATCCACACGCGACCTTATTTTATTGAGAGAATATGTATAGGCCTACATCGACTGGCATGTACCTAACTTTTATGTGACATTTTGAAAAATACTGTATATTTACATTTGGGGAGGGGGGAGTCATGCAATTTCATTAAAATAGTGGTGTTTTTTAATTAATTTTGCGCAATGAGCCTCAATAATCGAAATACATGGATGAAAAGGCAATTAAAGTGGTCTGTAATTTGATACCCTGAAGTCTCGCTCCAATTTGTCGAATAATTTTTGACCCTCAACTCACCGTTGTAATGTCAAATAATAACAGTAACGATACAACATGATAACAAAAATTTTAGTTTTTTGCCCCTTGGGGCACATCCAAGTTGGCGAAACAATCACATTGGGAGGCTTTGGAACCAAGCCTGGGGAGTTCGATTCCTGGTGGGAACTTTTGATCCAATAAAAGAGGAATTATTGGTGGATTAATCACTATGGAGGAAGGCTCCCTTTGGGGAAGGAGTAAAAATCGTGTGGGAACCTGGGAACTAACAAGGGCACATCCCGCGATTTACCTCCCTGAGCTGCTGAGGGGCCGGAGGTTCAGGGACGAGGATATAATTTGGCGCAAGCTGGGACATCTCGTTAAAAAATAATAATAATAATAATTTTAGTTTCTTTTCTAATGCCTCGTGCGTCCACACAAGCCATATAAGTTTACACAAAGGAAGAAAGAAACATATTCTACGACTCTGTGATTTAACAATGTGTTCGAGTACAAGCAAATCTTAAAAGTCTAAGTCCTGCGTGTTCAAATACAAGTAGCATTTCTTCTTAGAAAAACTAGTTATTGTAGGCACTGCAGAGAATCCTGAATACACTCCATCTTTCTTTCTTCTGCAAACATCGGCAACATACCGAAGAAGCTCGTGTTTTTGAACAAATGGTTGGGCTGCATATTCTTCGTATGGCATCCACTGAATAGAAATAAACAGCGCAAATAAGACTTAAGCAACGCATATTACCACAAAATAGACATTTCAAAGTTCTTTTTGAAGTTCAGGTATATACAAAAAAATTGAGATCCACTGTCCATCCAATTAATTATTGACATATCATGTTAAATTAACATGTTCAACTTTTGATGGACAACAAATTAGATAGCAGATCTCAATTCATGCAAGACATGCATAAGTTGGCTTTACTTACATGAGAATTGTTCAAAGAGAATTCTATAGAGTAATTCAAATGCAATAGCTACTGATTCAGAAAAACTATCCAAACAAGAATTTCCCACATGAAAGCCACCAAGTTGTGCCACATGTTCACTAATACACAGATGGCTTTTATGAATTGGTGCCAGTAAGTTTAGCATGTTTAAGCCGAAATATGCTATTAAGGATTTCTTTATGTAACCATCGAGAGCATGCTCGACACATGAACAGATAAAGCTAACTTTTGAAAAGAAATCAACTGTGGGGATCCAAATGCTACGGTATTAAAGGTTAGCGACCTAAATACCAAGAAAAATTTGGATGAGGACCTTAAGTGTTCATTTGAGTTTAGAATAGGGGCTCTAAGTGTAAAGTTCCCTCGAATTTATATGTGTTGCTTGTATGGTAATAAAAACTTGAAGAACATGTTGCATATGCGAAACATGGGAAATCAGCTGTAAATAGAGAAGAGGGAGTGGGTTACATGCATTGTCATAAAGAAGAAAGTAACTTGGTTTTTGCTACTGGATTCAGAAAGATTTACACGGCTATGTTGCATGGACACACGACACGGACGAGTTGACATGTGATTTTTAAATAACGTTGGACATGGATACCTTGAGGACAAAATTAAGTTCCCTAAAACTATTCATCTTTTAATAAATTTAATTCTTTTGTTTATGAAATCTTTTAAATTAGTTGAGTAGCTATATGTTATATTGAAATAACTTTAAGTTAAACTAGATATTAGATTGCCGAGAAGGAAAAATACACATAATATATGTCAGAGTGTCCGAGGAGCGAGGAGTATCAATGATGGACACAAGTCCTGTCGGACATGGACACATTGCCAGTAGCACCTGTAGGATTGCCCAGGCATCATAGTTACATGGTGACTGATACTAAGTTACCCAACAGATTTTCTAAGAAAATAACTTCTTTACCATAATATGCTGACTAGAATATACCTGTGCTGCCTCTATCTCTGATTCCTGTGGCTTGATGTCAAAGGAGAGTGGTTGCATCATGCACACGAAGAACAAATCTGACTTGTCAAAGAACGACTTGTGGCTCTGCCTGGAAATCATGGCATGGATTTACTCAATATACAAGGCAGCAATAAACTGAAAATCTATAATATATAATATATTAAAATATCACATCAAGGGAGAATTATTTTCTGGACGATTTTAACTCCAATTCAATTATTTCAATAATACCTTACTTTTCGTTTTTTGATATATAATAAATACTACATAATTATTGTCATTTATGAAATTTGTGTTATTAATTCTCGATTAATTAACATTCACATCAACCTATATTCAAATTTTCACTTGATGAATTATGAATTACATGACTCTAGAGTTATTATAAATGAATTTATTCATATTCATATATCTAAAAATTTTATTGGGTGTTTAAATTTATGTATTAACAATTATTATCATGTATCAAATGTAATATAAAAAAATTGCTCATTTATAGTATTTTATCATAGAAATTGAGTTTTGAGAGTACAATTTTCTTCTATTAAATTTTTATGCTAAATTTTATTTTCTTTAATCCGTTCGAAACTCATCAAATTATTTAACAAATTGGTACCAAATATTACTTTTAAATCACTTATAAAGTATTTCAAAATAATGTACAATGCATGTTCAATTTTGACTAGTAATAGTAAAAGGGCGTACACTGGTCTCAATAGATACCACATAATAGGCAAAATATGTACAAGTACATAAACAAGAACAAGCCCATAGTTCAAATGCATTAAAACAAGAGAAGAAGAATGATTTTGGGTAAAGGAGTACCTGAAAGCTAGTATTTCTAAAAAAATTGAATCAATCTGAAATAGAACAAGTAAAGAACAGCATTATTAATGGATTGTGCACATACTTAAAAAATGCAATTTATCCGAGTATGAAAATAACAAAGAAGTTGTGCACTTTACACTTACTCCTGTCTCTTCTTTTACCTCTCTCACTGCAGCATCACATATATCTTCTCCCTGTAGACATAAAGATATAAATGAAGAAAAGGCCTTTGGCGCTTTTTCCTTGAATTTTGCTAAACAACCCGCGCCATTCACCGCACCGATGACCGTACCCTCACATGGCGCACGGGTCCCACCTAAATAAAAAAATAACGACCCCATGTGTATGTGTGTGTGCGGTCACACCCATGCGGGTCGTGTAGCGTGGTACTATTTCCTTTTATCTTTTTTCTTTAAATATGGCAATAAAATTACCAGTCGGACCTACCTCATGAACAACTCCTGTAGGGAACTTCCAGACATCCGTTTTACCGAACTTTCCATTCTTTTCCTGGACAACTAGTACCTTATACAGAAAGCTGAGAGGTTAACAAAAGAGCCCAAAGAAATAAAATACGCAAAGATCCACGCAGAGTGCAAACCCAACTGGAGCATGGTTGCATCTTTTCTAAGAAACTTACATAAAAATAATCACCTAATAAGGCTCACATAAGAGAAAAAGTTGAGCTGGATATACCTCATTCTTATCATTCACAACGAAAGCGCCGATACCGACTTGATGTGAGGCGCTAGCCGGCAGCGTATTAGCAATACTGGGAAGCCATTGGACAAGCATAACGTATTTAGGTTCTGCATGGTGATAATAAAATCCTTCCTGAAAAACAAAATATTCGCGATAATTATTGTCACCAGCTTCCTTGTTTCTTTGAGGATAAGATTCTTCATCAAAATAATTCTAACGAGAGACATAAACTAACCTTAACAGCCGGCTCAACAAGATTTACGAGCTCAATAGGCATTTTAATCCAGACACCTTTTTTCCCCTGCAAAAACATCCACCTAATGCTTAGTACGTGAAAAATACTTTCTTTTTTGCTGAATTCCTCCTCCTTCAGAGTAAACTATGTAATGGTTACTAAAATTGCTATAAAGCTGAATGGTTATCAACTCGAAAGTCACAATTTCTTGTAGTGGTCATATATGAAACATTACCAGCTTAATCTAAGGAGCTGCTACTGGAACTTATCCTTTCTTTCCTCCAGCCATATAACCTAATCCCTAATATTATTTATCTAATTTTCAGTAATCTTCCTACGCCCTTATCCACCCCCAACCCCTTGTTTCCCCTCCACTGTTTTGCTTATTTAGCTAGAAACTGCATTTTGCATGCCATAAAGAGAGTGTCCAACCGTTCGATATGTAGCAACAATCAGCAAAACTAAACAAAAGCTTCCATGGAAATCAACAAAAAATTTGATTATGCAATAAATGCCCACCATTTAACATTATAAATTCATTAACATATGCATACTTAGACAAAAATCAAAAAAGGATCTTCAGAATCTCAAATATCTGAAACCTAATGTCATTCACATAACTTTTGAGAGGTATTTTCATTTCTGTTTTAGCAGTATTGATTTTGTAGATTACAGTACACATCTGCTATTCACATCATGTATCACAAGTGACTTCATATAAAAGACATGCAGTGTCAAGGAAGTAGTGCCCAGTCTGTAATATTTCATGTGTTCAGAAAACAATGCACCCGAGCAAATAGAAAAAGACAGAAGTAAAAAACTATCTATGTTATTGCAAAATCAAAGGTTTTCCATTCTGACAGGTATCCTATATTTTTGCAGCCAGTCCTTTTGTTTGATGCCGTCTTATTGATGTTGAAGGACAGGTTTGTCTTCCTGTAAGAAATCGTGTTCAATAGAAATCCTCAATAAAGCATTATTGCTATCCACAGGATGGCCATATATATATTCCACATGTTCTGAACACGAATCGTTTAGCATTGTATTAGATCTTGTCTTTCCATTTCTTTTTTCAGGGATCCGATAAGAGAGCTTATTTGAAGCCAAAAGAAAAACTGAGAACTTCCAGAAAAGTCAGTCCATTTTTTAGCTTATACCAAGAAACAAATCCCAGTTTATGAGCAGAATCCAACTTCAATTGAAAACTTGAGCCATTAAAATCTTGGGCCAACATTTGTACATTAATCTTTATTCTCTTAATTATTCTCTTAATCCCAGTGTTCTAAAAAGTGCGGCCGAGTCACGAAGTGCGGGTGAAACGCCACTCCTTGACATTAAACGCAAAATGAAGTGGTCAATTGGCAGTTGATAGCTTGTCGCCGACTAGGCACACTTTATTAATTTTTTTATTCTTTTATTTTTTCTATTTTAAAAGCCTTGTATTTGATTTTAGAAAATCGTATAATTGTCTAATAGTAGGAATTATTAAGTAAATATAATTTTTTTTATAATTTTAAATGTTTTGAATTTGTTATTTTAATTATTGATTGATTTTAGAATGATTAAAAATTTAAAATAATATTAAAAATAAAAATAAAAAGCTTTTGTACAATTTGGCCTCCACGCCTAGCCGCCATATACGTTTTTAAGAGAGCATTGCTCGAGACACCTTGCAAAACTCCGTTTCAATTTCATTCTTAAATCCAGATTAACCCAATTTCCCTACCACATCATTACACACACACGAATATAAACTATCAACCATTTACAGCATTAAGGCAAAAATAATATTGCCAAAATTGAGACAATAACTGAGTTTAATGAAAATGTACAAACAAATTCAATACCTGCCGTCTCCAATGGGAAAGCGAGGCTCTAAGTAAATAAACAAAGACACCAGCATCCATGGGCTCATTGGCCATTTCCACCATGACTCCTCCATGGTCATCATTTCTGGCCTTTAATATTCTCTCCACCTGCTGATTTTGCTTCTCAGATAACACCTGCGATGCGGGGGAGGAACTCATCGAGGATCGGCTATTCAAGCAAAGTCCAAAATTTCCCTGAAACAATCAAGAAAGACCCAAAAATGTCTAGCTTTCAAGAAATAGAAAATATTCAATCACTTAACAAGATCAAAAAGAGTTAGATTCAGGAATTCATAAATTTTGAACCTTTGGCTTTGATGTTCGGTTTTACAGTGGAGAAGGGGCGTATTTTGGAATTATAGAGAGTTCTTGAAGTTGTTTTACAGTGGAGGGTCGAGATATAAATTTCATGCATGCCATTGTAGCAGATATATACCAGTATTTTATAGGGATTGGGTGGACGATATACTTACGAGAGTAGTCGGTAGCTGTCTAAATTGAATATTTTTGACTGCATTCGCCCAACGTTTTTCAAATTTCCAAACAGGTTCTTTGAATCGATATTTGATTTGGTCAAATTTCAACCTGTTGATTAAGCCCCGTTTGACCTCCATTTTTTAAAAATAAAAATGGGTATAATAATATTTTTTTTAAAAATGAGTGATTGAAAAGAAAAGAAAAATTTTCGATTTACATGCAATATTATTTTATGAAAATTTGTATGATTAAAAATATGAGAAAGAAAAATGGAATGTAATATAATGAAATTTAATGAAGGTCAAACGGAGACTTAAGTTGTGAATATTAATTATTAAGTCGTGGGTAATACTCAATGCTTCTTACTTTTCGAGGTTACGTTGAAACAACTTTAACTAAAAAAAATTCTAACTGGAAAAAAATAGTTTCACTTTGTTTGTAGGAATTAAAATTAGATATTTTTAATAAATGTTGCTAAAAGTTGATGATATATAGTTCAAAAGTTGTGAAATTCATTAAATATGTTATTAAAATTAATTGTTAACTTTGATTTAGATTAAAATATGAGTTTCAGCAGGTATCGAACAAGGATTTGATTAGATAGATCAAAAGCGACTTTTGTGTCTCAAAAATTCCTTTGACTTTTTAAAAGTCATGTCAAACAAGCATTGAACCCGTGAAAATTAAATTTTTTTAATAAATTTTGATAAAAATTTGTGAAATGTGTAGTTAAAAATAATTATTAAGACTATGTTTGGTCCATATTTTTTCAAAAATCTAATTTTTTTAATACTCATTTTCAATTACACATTCATCTATAAAATAATTTTACACCTAAACTCAAAAAAAATTCTTATTTTTTAACTACATATTTTCTAACAAAAGATTATTCCAAAATGCATTTTGACCCAAAAAATGGGGCTCAAGCAAGGGCCAAATTTCTTGGACCCCATGAAACGTGTGTTAATAATGAATTTTAAAAAAATGAAGTATAAAAAATGGGAGCCAAATATGCACTCTGTGGGTGGATAGTATTCATGAATCTTACAAAATAACTAAGTAAAAAGCAAGTTCGATCGAAAATGATTATATGCCCCTGTTTGGGAGCCATTTTTTAGGAAATTTGTAGAAAAATTCTAACCGTTGAGATACCAGGTGGGACCCATGGTAGAGAGAAACAGTCAAAAAGTGCGGCTGGAATTTGAAATTAACGGTCAAAATTATCATTCTTTTCCCTTGAAAANAGTCAAAAAGTGCGGCTGGAATTTGAAATTAACGGTCAAAATTATCATTCTTTTCCCTTGAAAATGGCTCCCAAATAGGGGCTAGATAAATCACTTCCCAAAGTAATTTGTTTTAAATTGTGATATAACAAAATGTACATGTTTGTCAAAGCTTAAATTATAATTAAGCTACTTAAATAGATTTTTTTATCTACACATTTGTACAACTCGCAACTAGTATCAATTTATTATGGGTACATTTCATAGATACTACAAGTTATAATCATTAATTTCAATTTAAGCACTATCCTATCGTGCACGCTTGCTGTTTTGAATATATATGCTTATAAACAAAGTTATAAAATCAAGACTCTGATTTTTCATTTTTATTTTTTTTGCAATGTCTATGTTCATCTTTGAAAGTAAAAAATTGTGCAAATTCTTTTTTGTATTTCATGTGTTCTGAAAGTTTTTTTTGTGATTTAAGCATTACTATCTATCAGATAAATATCGTTAATGAGTAAGTGTTTTTTTTTTTTAGTTAGGTAGTGCATGTTTAGTTATCAAGTATAATGTTTATAAAAGATGTCAATGTCTCCATTTCACATATTTTCTTCGAATTGATTGATTTCCCCAAAATATCGCACTAAACAAGACATTGAGTAACAATGTTAAGTACATGGACTATCACGAGGTAAGGGTTGCTTGATTATGTTTAAAGGATCTTGTGTTGGTCAGTTTGTACTGTTTGAACAAGTTGACTTATGTTATGTGCACATTAAGTAAGCGAACATCTATCAATTGATGCGATCTTGACAAAATACTCATGATTCGAATTTATTATATAAATAATTTTATTGGTGTAAATTGCTATTAGTGTATCTATTTGGGTTCATGAGAAAAAGAACGACAAACACAAAAATGCAAACATAGCAATTGTAATTGTAAGTGACTAGTCACCCAAAAAGTGAGGTGAGCTAGGAATAGAGGGAGGGAGAAAATGAGAAAATCAAGCCGAGCTGGAAAGGTGTCGTCGTGACAGTGCTAACTAGTATTGAGTAATGTACACTCTTCTTTTTAGTGATTTTTGTGCAGCAACTAAGTAAAATATATGCTTACTACTATGCTACATTTTAACTTGACAATCCTTAGCTACACAATTATAAGAATTTAGTAAAATAAGACATTATCTTGTGAGTTGTTACATCTCGATTATTTAAAAGCAACATGTCACTTAATTGATTGACCTACTTTTATGAGTAGTTGTTTCACTATAAAATGAGATGTTGGTAAAAGATTATCGTAAACGATATGACAAATTGTAAATTACACGTTTTTTTAAATTTGTTGATTGTATTTTCCTCAATTATTGCTCCACAACATTATTTCGATTGCCTGAACTTATGTCTTTTATTGATATCTATTTTTATAAATGTTTTTTAATTAAAATTTATTTCCACGATAATCAAGCATAGAAATTTTGAGCGCCAAAACATTCTTTTATAATTGTTTATATTTATAAACACTTAAGTTACTTTTTATTTACATATTTTGAATGATTCACAAGTATTAATCACTATCTATCACTCATATTTATTAATTTATAATTTAAACCGTTTATAAATATTTTCCAAAATACGCTCGATTATTGTTCTGCTAGGCGCATTATGACAACAACAACAACAACAACAACAAAAAATTTGATCATAAACACTTGGAATAAAGAAACAAAAATCTTTAAAACATAATTCAGATTAAATAAAAGTTGAAATGTCTAATTATCTTCCGTTTGATAGTTAGGAAATTATAGTGTGTGTTTATTAGCTCCTGTTGGAGTCCCCATTTGGGTCAAAATGTATT